TACGTTCGCTTGTAATCAGTTTGCCCAGAAGAAAAGCAAGTGATCAAACTTAAACGACCTTTCTTTTGTATACGAATGAGCTGGAAGATCAAAAATAAACAACAACGAATTGTATTATAATATATTTGACCTCGCCGTGACAGTTGAGTACTTAATTATACGGCCACCCTGACAAGCGTATACAGGACATAAATACGGCCCTTAAGCGAATTATAACATTATGGGAAGTTGAACAAGAACCTTAATAAATTGAAATTTTTCAGGTGGCCGGGAAAAAAAAAAAACAACCAATGCTTTAATATTGCTTATTCGCGCTGACAGTGTCGCGCAGTATACACACTTCATGTATTTGGATGATTTAATATATATTAATTGTGGTACATCCTGTTTACACCCGCCTGCAAGCGAGCTCCCACGTGGTCCCCGATCAAGCGGAAATAAACAGCGCAAAAAATAGAGACAAACACAAGAGAGAAGAGGCGGAAGAGACAAGCCGGTTTCGTGGTGTAGTGCTTATCACGTTCGCTTTACACGCGAAAGGTCCCCGGTTCGATCCCGGGCGGAACCATGCTGTTTCTTTTTGTTCTCGCTAATGGGAACTACTTTTGAATTTGCCAGTGGGAGTATGCGCAATAAAGTTCCAGAGAACGAATCCCAGAAGTGAGTTCCAAATATAGCATCGAGGTTGGAATTCAAAATCATTTTCAACCAGGCTGCAAATCCCTTTTAAGCCAGCGCTTGTGTCGTTCGCATCTTCCCTCTTGCCCTTATCTGTATATTTTGTGTACTGTTTATTTACGATTGTATTATGAACCAACTCGCCTACATCGCGACATGAATCCGCGATCAACCAGACCAGACCGGGCTCGTCCGTTCACTGCGTGTTCAAAATATAAATTAAACACATAAATGCACGGAACAGCTGAGCAGCGGAGCATTCCATTCCCATTCCATTCCCATTCCCCATTCCATTCCCATTCCCATTCTATTCCCATTCCATTCCTATTCCATTCCTATTCCATTCCTATTCCATTCCGTGCAAAAGACATCTAATTCCATTCCCATTCCATTCCCTCAACGTTGCCGCCATTGCATTCCCATTCCATTCCGGGGTCGGGAAAATGAGTTATGGTTCCGGAATCATTCCAACTCCGGAGTCTCAACTCCGCAACACTGGTGGAAACCCGGCCAGCGTGGCTCCCCACCTGCATTGTGCTTTCGGAGTTCGCCGGCTTTTCTTGGACGTTTTTACTTTATTTGGCTGTTTATGATGCTTACCCTTTGTGCGTTATCTTCCACTGTGAGAACCAGGGAATACCAGGGCTCGTAGCCTGAACGGCCTTCGCAGGAAACGAACGAAGAGAGCGAACATCAAGCAGGACGCGACGAAGGCAGTTCAACGTTCTTGGAGGATTAATTTCATGGAGATTATCTCCAAAAAGCTCCCCGGCTATGTTCCAGGTTTCGCGAAAAATAGCTGATAGGGTGGGGTCCGGGGTGTGTGGGACGGGATAGACAGGTTCGTTCATTTGCTTTGAAGCTGTGCAAAAAGGAGCTCTCTTCAAATTGTGCCCCAAAGCATTCCGGATTCCGTCCGATCATCGTGAAGGGACTATCGTCGACACTGTGCATTAGATATGCTGTGTTATTTAGACCTTTCTCAAATCCTGTTCGGATAACGTGGCACCGTGGGGTACGTACAATTTATGTTGTTCGATTGATAAAACTCGTTGAATTTCATGTTGTGGTGGGGGAATATCCATGCAGTTCGGATAGCCTGTGTGGTCTAACATTTTCCACGGTTAATACCTTTGTAGATTGGCACCGCTGAGTGTATGGTGCCGCAAAAAGATCTAGATAATATAAAACAAAGATTCCAGTTGCATCTCTTCTGTCGCACACGGACGCACCAAAACAGCTTTCATTTCTTTGTTTTTGGTCCCAAAAATAGCACAATGCATTCGTAAAAATCCCGAGATATTATATTCGCCATAGAACACAAAATAAAAAATGAAACGCGGCAATTTAGCCTCAACCAACGTCCGAAAGTGCGCCTAAGCAGGCTTCAACAGCCCACTGACTAGGAAACCCACAGCACAACTTAGTCGGGCGACACTGACGTACACTCTCAAAACCTGGGACGCGCGCTGTAAATCGCTCCGTTCGAGACTGCCGCTGGAAAGGTCTAGAGAGGAGGCTATGGCATGGGCAACACTGCCTGGTATACGAACTCGAAGCGCTCGGAGAGATGGCATGAAACTACGTCAGAGCAGACGGCCTAAGGCCTAATTGCGTGAGACGTCGCCTTGAACGCAATGCGCCACCCCTTTCCTTGCAGAGTCACGCGGTCACGCCACGCTGCCCAGTCAACATATCGTTAGATCAACGGGGTGCCGAATGCACATCCGTCGGCGTTCGACATCGAATATAAAAAAAGCGCGCGTTTTTTTGTTTTCGTTATGACATTTTTGTTAGCTGTTTTCGTCTTGTTTACAAAAGTTGCGTCATTGTGTCAATCGTGCACGCCCATTTGCCTTAGATGTCACAACTGCATACCAATGTCGTTGTAATGTTGCGTCCCTTGGCTCAAAAGTAATTACACCATAGACCCGACTGCGAGTAGCCGTGTTCCGATTTCCGAACGAGAATGATCTTCGTGATGCTTGGATATGGGCGACTCCGTGGGACCAGAGCCGTATATGTAGAGAGTTTGGTCAATGGGAGGCGCGGGCAGAGCCAGGGCGTGCGGCAGACTCGGAAAGGGGGCTGGGCATGCTCTCTTGACCAACCAGAAGCCGAAAAAAATCCCCTAGTGGTGGTAGCGAGAAACAGTTCTGAGCCGATCGATCATCAAAGATCTTTGTTCGTATATGGTTTTAATAAGTGCGTAAGAGTGAAGTGTATTAACTCTTTGTGGTTGAAAATAGGGTGCACGTGTTGTTTTCATCATGATCATGCAAAAAGATGTAAGAAACGAATGCGCCGCTCAACTCTGTTTTGCGCGGACAGAGTGTGACCGCTCTGACGGCAGATTCCCGGCCCTCGGCGTTTGGCGTACGGATTATGTCGATCGTTCCGCTAGTCGCATTCTTCCACCCTCATTTTGGATGAGCGTGATTGAAACATCACGTGTACCATATTTTCAGCCATCGAGGGTTACTCCAATGCAGTTATCAGGTTTGTTTCTCGCGACCACCACCAGGGTATTATTTCCGGCTTCTGCTTGGTCACATTCGAATTTATGAAGACGCCCTGGAACACGCCCAGCCCGCTTTCGGCCAATGGCGCCTCCTCATTTGTCTCCTATACTTCCCAACGAATGGCCAAACTCTCTACATATACGGCTCTGCGTGGGACAACCTCGTCGTCTCGAGCCACACCAGTTTGGGAACTCCCTCTTTTTTTCTAGTCATCGTTTGCTCTTGCAGAAATCACACGATGTAGAAATGTAGTCAAACAAGCGTGGAAATGAAAATGAGAGTAGCTTCTCAAAAATTAGCGTTTCGATATTCGAGAAGCTTCACGTGGTTGGGTCCTTACCGAAACCAACACGCGCAACTTTATCTGCTTTGTCTGTACGACTACTGTCGTTTAGCGCGCCATTATGGGGTTTCAACAGTTTTCAGAGGTTTTTCAGTTCGGTAAATTACTAAAGCTCACTACATTCGCTCGTTTGTTATCTGTCGTAGCCTCTTCGATCGCACTTGCCGTTGCTCGCACGAAGACGCTTGTATTTCCTAGGTGTGCAAGCTTAATTGCTCACACGATGAAGTGATTCGGGAGAATTCCCGTGTCGACGACAATACTGGGGGCCTGTTGGCTGCGCCACTGAATTGCAGGCGCCTCAGTCCTATAGCAGTTTCGCCAAAATTCCCGGGGTGCCCGATCAACATGTCAACTGTGAGAAAAGACCCGAACTGAAAGAGGAAGCGAATGAATTCGGCTACTTTGCAAGACGCTGTTGCAGAATTGTTGTTTGGGTATGGCCTATGATTGTGCATCTGTGGTTGTCTGTGATAAAATTTGCTTGCTCAAGCCTTTTGAAGTGCAGGCTACGAAAACACGAGAGTTGTTCTAAAGGTGAGAAATACCCCCTTTATTACTCAAGCTTCTCATGTGATTGAGAGGCAACGCGAGGAAACACACGTATAAATCTAAACAATAGAAGCCATAATGTGTTAGACCCTACAATAGAGCACCACCGCTGTACAGCCTTCTACGGTTATAAAAAAAGTCTCTTTGTAGCTTACGTCGTGCGGCAAAGCCACTATAACGAAGACAAGCTGGGTCAATTAGAGTGGTTTTTTTGTCGTTTGTTTCTTAAGCAGGGCATGTGCTATTCAATTTCTGCAATCCTTTAAACTCTCACGGTTAGTGAGAGTTTAAAGAAAATAAAGAGTGGAGTGTTTTTTTATATTAACGTGCAATTTCGTTATTGAGAAAAATGACGTGCGCTTCTGCATTAAAAGCACAACTAATATTGTGCTGTTAATTCTATTATATTTTGCGTCGTTTTATATAAAGTTGCCAAATAATTTGTGATTGCATGTGTCTCTAAAATGTGTTCATTTTAACGAGATTAATTTTTTTGACATACATCTTTTTTATTTTTAATATTTTTTTTGCGTACTGCTGCAAAAATGTCATAAACTAAATAGAAAAAAGAAGATTACTACGGAAGAAAATTGGCTTCTCATATTGCTGAATGCTCCTCCCTAGGACATGGCTTTAGCATATATTTCTGTGACATAAAGATATAGAAAAAAATGAACTGCACTACTGTTGCACGATCAGACGTCGAAACACTCTTCAGTCTTTCTTAGTAAGAACTAAACAAAGTCGGAATTTTCTTCGACTAATTTTTTATTTCATTCTACGCACACAAGCTGGACAACAAAGGCAATGGCCTATTTTCCCCGTCGTTTGCATGCCTACAAAAGTACCCACCACCATCTGGGATACGCGTAAGCGCCACGATGCTCAACTCGAGGGGGTGTGGTTTAGGCCTTTTCTGCTCCTGCATTGTTGCATATGTTCTTGTCGTACATCAGATCCTTTGGATATCCACATGCTGATATGAAGGCATAGCGGCAAGTGGTGGGAAGACTTTTGAATATTTCTTCTGCGGGGTTAATCTTTTCCTTTTCTGCTGTTGAAGCTTGTTTGCCATCACCAGCTACTTTTCTAGGATTCTTTTTTTCGGCGCGTCGCAACACTTTTTTCAACTCTGATTCCTTTAGCCAAAAGTCGCATCCTGAAAAAAAAAGGTTAATGGGATGATCATTAGTTACTAACATTTTGGGGACAGTAATGCAATACCCCTTTGGGGCTCTTAAGAGGTACTAAAAATCAATAAATAAATTAATTGCCACTTTAATAAGGACAGCACACAGGGTGTTTCAAAGAACGCTGTCGAAATCGCTCCTCACTGGCAAATCGCTATGTGCGCTAAGGAAAAAAAGCTGGTATCAAAGGACTAATGGCAGCATTTCGTCCTCTGAACTGAAATTTTGCTCCCCGAAATGACCATCTATTTTAAGCTAGGTACCTTGTGCAAACGCATGGGGACTAACTGCGCTCAACTGGGACTAACCGAAAGGCGTGCGCGAGCAAAAGCAGCCATTAGTAATTCTCGGACAGGGTGCATCTGTGTCTTTTAATCCCCGAAGGCGAACGAAATGATCGCTAAGAAGACAGCTGATATTTTGCTCGTCTTGGGGATCGGCGCAACTCAGCTCAGCACGGCTGAAAGTGTTAACCAAGACTGGCGAATTTCTTTGACGTGAACGATCGTTCAGACATTACATGGTACACTGACCTTCGAGCGCTATGGGGATGTGAGTTAACGATTGTGTTTACTCACGGACCAAACTATCTCGTCGCAATTTATTGGTACTTGACAAGTTCCATTGACGCAATTTGCCCCGCGCAAACATATCAGCATTTATCCAAACAGAACACCTCTGAGTACTAAAACATTAATGTTTTCGTTTCAAATTACACAACTTCAAAAAGTCTGTAGAAGACTATAAATCCTTTCAATCGATCCTAAGTGTTGAGCTCAATGCGCTCTGACATTCTCGGACCTGTTGCGGAAGGTAAACCGTCTTGACATTGGTAATGCATAAAAGCATTTTTGGAGCGTACGATGGACGATTAAACATAATTTACGCTCGTAACATGCTGAAATAACAGCTGTGACAAACTGTAGACTATAAAAAAAATCGTCAGCATACGAATTGATTTCTGGCAGAACGGAACAAAAGCCAATGTTTGGAAATTGTTGTCAACTCATCGCGTTTTCGACAGTGAACGGGCTGCGATAGCAATCATGAGTACAGCAATACAGGCAAATTTCTAATGTCTAATAAACCGCATTTTTCTTTCACTGTGGAATATCGTTCAAGCATCACCGGTAGGACGTAGCACGTATTGCCGTGTGACACAAATCACAGTGCATTATAGTCGGTTCTCCCTTTATTTTACGACACAAGCCTTCGAACACACTTTTACCAAACCTGAGAATTTGTCCACTGAACCCTGTAAAACAGCGGCGAGCTCTCCGAGCTGTTTCTTTATCGGTTAGGCTCAGCGGGTTTACCGACTCGAGATGAGCGATCTCGTAAATGCACTCGGAATACTTCTCACTTCGAGCTTTTCTGTCAAGGTCACAAGCGAATGTCGTCCCGTCCGTTGTAATCCTCGCCCCGTTGAACGTATACACACTTTCAACACTTTGTGGAACCCGATATCCGTCGCCGTCATGTTTTACCCCGCAGGCCGCTACCGCCGCGATGGTCAACAAAACCACGTGATACGCGTTCAAGTACCACGTGGCGCCGCTCCGCACTCCGACGGTATATCAGCCCCGAGCGGGAACGATTAGAGCGCCGCGGTCGCTCGATGATGACGCAGGGATAAGTATCACGTGACGAGGCCGGATATTTTCTCCGCTTTGCTTTACTTTGATTGTGAGCTTTAGCTATTAGCATCTGGAACTGTCCGCTAAAGGCTGATTCGGACACTTGCGTCGAGTCCGACCAAGTACATCTTCAACGTACAGGTTGCCATGGGAACCTGTACGTTGCAGTTGTACTCGAGTATAACGCAGCTGTTGGCATGGCAATGCACAGGTTGCCATGGCAACAGCTGCGTCCGCTCCAACAAAACCGGTTTGCACCCGGTTTTGTTGGAGCCGACGCAGCTGTCGCCATAGCAACCCTCGAACCAGGTCAGACTCACGGAAATGTTTGAACCAACCTCAAAGAGGCACTAACCCCCCTCCCCCGCCCCTTTCTTCCCCCAATTTCGTTAAATATTTTGCCACGAGAGTTTTTATAGTGTCAGAGTACTACCCAATCAATATTTTGACACATCGTCGCGTATATGTTTAATAAAGTAAACAAACGCAACTGCTCGAAACCGAAACTGGACTGGCGAGGAAGAAGGAATATAGAGGATAAGAGAGTTAGCAAAAATCACGTGGCTGTGCAACTTTTTTTTTTTTTTTTTCAGTCAACGCATTTGCAGTTTTTAAGTAGTCACAAAAAATGGTCATCAATTTTTTCTCTTTTTGTAGTGAGTGTGTGCCTTCGATGACCCACGACTTTGATTATCTTTGATGGAAAATTCTACACCATAGAAAACGGTACGCGACAACGAAAAAGAGAGTGAGCTCTGCTCAAATCGGCCAGTTTTCTACCGGCTATCTTCGGGCGGAAAGAAAACGAGTTTCGAGCCTCGAATTGTGTTCTGGTTAGTTGAGCTCTCGTATCTCATACACAATTCAAAACATTAGCGAGCAGAAATACCCTTTCAGTGTCTTTTTAAGTGTATTTGTTTTGCAACCACGCAAAACGTGCGTAGGACGAAACCTAAAAACAAATCTAAATATGCCGAGCGAAGCGCTCGGAAGTTGTGTGCAAGTTACGATGCAATCCTACCATAGCTTCATGGTCGCCAGCACGGCTCGGATACTTCACAGTGGAAACAAGCGAGCATACGTTTACGTGCTCTTCACGCATGTCCCGACTTCAAGTTGTAAACGAAAGGAAATTCGTACTCAAAACCACAATTCTCGGCGAAAGCAGCTCGATTAGCGGATTCCGGAAGCAACGACGACAATCCCGACGACGGCCACTCAAGTCGGTTGGAAAGCCTAGCAATGTCGGTCCAAAGGACTTGCAAGTCGCTCGTCGCTCCCTGCCTTTAACGACCAGCGGCATCGTTAATAAATGTATATGTTCGTGCGACACCTTTCTTTTTACGTGGACCCAATCTATGAATAGTTTGAACCTTGACCTAGATCTTCCGCTTAGAAGGTGAGTCTGATCTCTTCGTTTTCCCCTCTTCATTTTTGGAGTGTTGTGCTGCGGTGGCGGACGTACTCGTCACAGTAATACACTAATCAATTCTATTTGCTGCTTTCTTTGACGTAAAGCTGAAATAACTACGCTATTGGTTACCCTCGCATCATCTGGTACGTAGGCATTATTTTTTTGTGTGTGTCTAAAACCACATGAACAAACTACGAAAAAACAAAACAACCGGCGACCGGAATGCCAAGTTCAATGCTTGCTCGGCCATCTTCGCGATTGGTTTCTATATTTGCTGTTTGTTTGCGACAGGCTGAAAAAAAAAAGAAGAAAAATTGTTAGAGAACTATGCTGCCAGAATTCACGTCTTTAGTCACTTGACAAATCACTGAAGCCACGACGACAACCTGCTCTGCTGTGGTCAGTACGATTACACGAAACTGGGTCAGCTGGGTCCTGTTCCGTAGGCCGGGACGCAACTGTTGTCGCGCTGCTTGCATTTAATTTTGATGGGATGTGAAACCAAAGAATTAGGTCAAAAGCAACCCGTAACTCTCGTTGAAATTAACGAACCAAACATAAATTGTAAACGATACACCTCAAAAATTTGCTACCAACAAAGGGGAGAAGGGGTCACGCTACAACGTCAGGTGTTGCCTAGCTACTACTTCAGGAGAAGAAGCCGCCAGATGTTGCCACCCCATCTTATTGGGGAGGGGGGGGGGGGGGGGGTGAGGTGGAGGCGATGACAATGCCAGGTAAAGAAAGAAAGGGCGTGCACTATAAAGGCGGAACGGGAGAAGGGACAGAAGAGGGCGAGAGAGTGGTGCCCTTGGAAAGAACCTGCCGATCAGGCTACCGCACACTCCACCTCCAATTAGTCCGAGGGGTTTAAATGCAAGGGCTTAAAAGTTAGTCCTGGCAGTCCATCTCTGAGAGTCTAACGGGAACGGAGCAAGGGTTGCTCTCGTCCCCGTCAGTCTCCTAGCGGAGCAATGGCAGTGACAGCGCGTTTAGTCCCCTGAGGGACTAAGTCGCGCTCCATTTTTTCTTAGAGTTAAAGAGCTTGATGTCATATTCGTCTCTGTCAAGGGGTGCAATTAGAAAAAAAAGAAACGTTTGGATACGTTTTAAATTACTTGTGATCAACTGCATTCCAAATTAGTACATTTCAATGTATGGTTTCAATTGGAACTCTTTTGGGCATCATCAACAACTACTAAATCAGCTCAATTCACAAGAATAAAAGAATGCACAGCGTTTTACAGCGTTAGAAGAGGAACTCAATTTGGACACATCGTAAGGTGGTCCGAATATTTACAAAAAAGCGTACAAGGAACCTAACCGACTTTTACAATCAAATGAAACATTGCTTTGTACAAGAGGAGGTCGCTACCTCGGTTGAAGGCCACAAAGACGTGTGAAAATTGCGGGAGACGTGTGCTGCGTGGGGCATGAGGTTGTCCTTTGAATTCCATCTCTCTGTGACAGATGGTATATACCATCTTTGTGGCACTGGCAAATATGGCATATATATAGCAAATACCATCTCTCTGTGAGCGATGGCATATAAACAGCTGTGCCAATAATGTTTAATCTTAGTGATGTACAAACTAGCTCAAAATCCCACTTAAGTACAGTTTAGTAGCTGCGATTTAAACGCTTTGTGTTTGGCCCCCTCTTCTTCGGTCGTCTCTAGTTTTTTTTCAAGCATGTGAGAAGCAAACAACTTAAATGTGCCATCCAGATTCTTTTTTTTTCTTCATTTCACCTTGAATTTATGATGTAAAATGAATGCGAGGATTACAGGTCAATTATGGACATAAATATGCGCGTGAAGATCGGATGCAGATACAATAATTTAAAGCCATGAGGATGCGGTTCGGGTACATACAAAATCCACGTATAAGAATGGGATGCGAGTGGTTAAACGGTTACCTACACAGGGTTCTACTTTTGTGTGTGCTCTAAAATACGGGTGGAATTATTATATATCTTGGCTTCATTCGCTTCTGACTACCGCCAGTAAACTTTCTTTGGTCTTTTATATCTTTATGAGTACAATATTTTTGTATTAAGTATAGTTTTAACGGGCTTACCTTCACTGAGAAAAGGAGACCTGAAAATATTGCACGACGGCTGGCTGTAGACTACATAGAAGTCAAGGTAATCATATCCTTCCTCAGGTTCCGTTTCATCAGAATCACCTTCCACAGCATCTTGTGCGGCCCTCACTGCGTGCGAAGAAAACGTTTCTGCGTACCGCCGCAAACTTTCGGATGGCAGAAAAATTCAGAATAGTGGTAGCCTATGAAAGCTGAACTTACCCATATCCGATAGCGGCAAGCTTGAGGAATTGCAGGAGTAATCACCATACTCGATGTACATGTTGCTTCCCAGAGGGGTTGGTGCAATTGGAATGTCTAGTTTTACGGCGAAAACAAAGTATATACGTGTAGATTATGGTTGAAAAAAATATTTTTGGTATTGTATGGATAAAATAGCCTAGTCTCACGAATCCAAACTGTTAATAAACAATTCTTCACCAAGAAAGTATACGACGTAGAACAAAGTGTGAGAGACAGCAGAGGCTTTATTTTTGACATTTAAAGTAGATCCTGCTCTATTTCAAGTGTAGAAAAATGCAATTTAAAAAGCGCAGGCTCTGCTCGAAACGTCAAAAAAAAGAAAAGCCTCTTCTGCCGCTCACACTTTTTAATAGTCTCATGAAGTAGAAAACACTATTATACTTGAAAGCCAACAAACATAATTATCGTTTTGTTCAGGAAACTGTGTCTTAAAAACTAATGGTGGGTAATTGGATATACAGGGATCGATTGATAAAATGAAACCCGGTTTCCCGGCCCATATACACAAACCACGCATAATAGACCGCTGAAACTTCGTCGGAATATGAAGAAAGCAGTGGGGATGTGGTGCTAAAGTTTGGGAACGCCTTACCAGGATCAGAATATCTAAAAGAAAGAAGAAATTTCAGGATACGCCGACGTCTTTCTAAGCCCAATTTCATCAAAACAAGACGTGATAAATGTGAGCGCCTGTGGCATTTACAATGGTACAACAACCTTGACAGCAAGAAAGCAAACAATATTCCCTTTCTTGTTGACGAGTTCGTTTTACAGAAATAAGTACTACAGGAATCAAAAATATTATTTCTTGTTTTGGCAAGATTAGGCTTATATGAACGTCGGCTCACGGAGGGAGTTGGAATTTTTTTAAAGAATTATTGTAAGCGGGTGATGTCATGCTCCCAAACTTTTATATCCTATATCTCCATCGCTAGTGGCATAATATGAAGGACTTCCAGCTCACTGTAATGCGCAGTTTGTTTATGTCAGCAGTAAAACTTGGTTTCATTTTCTTTGATAATATTGGTACGTTATTTCACAATTTCTCTAGATAACAATCAGTATATAGTTACGCTTAATAACCGAAGTTTTTTTTCCAGACAATATGAGAAATATGTCATACATTATGAAAGAAAACTGAAACTCGCATAATATTGTTTTCTTCGTTTTTTTACAGCAGCCGCAAGACCTTAGGTGTAAAATGCACGATACAATATTATTGTTAAACGTTTTTTACGTTTACAAATTATCAATATACTCTCCCCGTTTGGACTTGAAGAGGTATTACATGGACTTTAAAGTCATCTGGTTAGCATTACGTTAGTGTTTGTATCTAAATTATTTAAAAAGAAGTCAGGCAAACTGGCTTATGCCGTTTAACCCCTGACACACGATGTTGAACCGAATTTACTTATTGAAAGTATGTTCAAACGTTTTTTCATAACAATTAGTTCAATATGTTTAATATGCAATATTTATTGTATTATGATATACCCGAATACATAGACCTGGGAGGTTTTATCCAACCAGGTATTTTTATTAATATATAAATCATCACATGATTTTTGTCAGTATATAATTACCTGTAATAACTATCACAATACAGTCCGCTTCGGCCTAAGATTTGTGTTGTACCTAAATGGAAGCCTAGATTTTTTAACAATGTTAGCCTAAGCAGGCGAGGATTATTAAAATGCTGTTTAGTATTTTTTGGTAAAGATTTAAGATGACTTTCCGCCTCTAAAGTATCCCTATTACCCTAACTAAAAGTAAACCACTGTATGAAGTTCGCATTCCAAGTAGCGACTGCCACCAAGTGTGCTGGTGGCACGCAGCCGGAATTTTGTTTCGGGGGGGGGGGGGGGGGGGGGGCGCCCATGACAAAATGCTGTATGAGGCGGAGGGGGGAGAGGAGGCCCCAGCAAAATGGAAGAGTTCGGGGGGGCTACGTGCCTTCCATGAACCTAGCGTAAAATTATGCTTTCTTGTCACTGATGTCTGTCATTCGTTTGAACTGGAATTCTGCCCTCTGCATCATGTACCACCTCGGTCATTCCTATCGGTCAAGTGAACCTACAGTGGAAGATAGCGAGATCAACTTTTACAGAGCATGTCCCTGTTCCTACGCCATTGGCTGGTAGAACACGTTTTGTAATCACTCCCTCAATTCTGCTCATTTCATTATATCTCGAGTGTCTCTGTGCTTCTCTCCGTACAAGGTAAAAATGCTTACAATACAAGGTGGAACGAATTATTTGATTGAGAAACGCGTAAATGACTGCGCATATCTCATGTACCATAAATATAGTTAGAGTAAATAGTTAGTTACACTGCTCCTATTTTATCACTTTGTATGGGTCATTGTTCATATTTCGTCCAAGTTATACGCAGACCAGGAAATATGTTTTAGAAACATTCAGTGAAAGAAGTGCTTCAGAATATATTGTTTCCCACGCAGAAATAAAGGAAAAACCCTCCTGTGTGCACTCCAGTTTATTCATTTCAATAGTTTCAGGGAATTGTTTTATGAGCTTAGATTTATAAGACAAAATCATACGTCTGCTAAAAAAATATTGAATCATAAATTTTAAAGTCACCTACCGCTCCAACCTGCACGTATGACGTTTTCCAGTTTGTAACCGGTTTGATTCAGAGCTCTTACTTGGTACTCCAAAGACTCGCTGAAATAGAAAAATTTCCTTTTTATTCTAGTACAAAAATAATTGATGCAAAAACAAAATATTATTGCTTAGCTACTTCAAATTTATGCCTTCTATGGTGCCTAAAACACTTCTGCGAAACTATTGGTGGTCGTTTCCTTAAAGTGTCTGTTCAATTGTTTTCTGCCGACGTTACAATTGCGTCTCAATTTCGACTGAGAGAGAAGCTACAGGCCGCCTGTACAACTGTAGCTTGCCCAGCAGTCGGCCAATCTAGAGAAACTCAGGCACGCTTCACAGTGTTTCGAGTAACGACGTTGACGTCCTCTGTATCCTTTGAGCTTGAAGTAGATTTCCTTTACAAGACAAACACCAGACAGAAAATGGAACACGCTGAGATATCTCTACAAAATCTTCAAATAAAAAGCCATAAAAAATGTACCTCACGAGATTTGCAAATACGGTTTCCTTAAAAGCACATTTTTATTCCTGCTCAGTAACATCTCCCCTTTGCTCCCTTCCCCTTTTTGTTGTTTTATTCGTGTGGATGTGTGTTTTTTAATACTGCATAGAAAAAAATTAGTCACGTTCAGGTTTTCGCGCGATATTTAGTTCGTTTTTAGAACATGTATTTAAGCATTTTTTTCAGTTGGGCTATTCGTTTTACCTATAATAAGAATGATGGCGTTGGAGGTCCTTTCTTCAGAAGCCTTGAAGACGACGTTAGGAGCCATTTTATGAAGACTTCAATGCATCGAATGTATCAGTGGGAGAATTCTTTCCAGCTCTATAGTTATGGTTTCTTGGTTAAATCCGGATAAATTCAAGTACCATTTCACTATTATAATGCTTGGAATAGGCGGAAAATAACAGATTTCGTTTTAGCTTCCCGTGGACCATATGCAGGTATAATTTGGCACAAAACTGTGGATTTTGTTTTTAGAATATATTAGTCAATTAATTTTTTATTTTATTTTAAGAATATATTGCCCAAACTCTCCGTTACACACGAAAATACGGTAACATTCCTAACCGATACGTCCACTAAATTCGAACTGGTGCAATATTTGTTTTTGGTGAAAATAATTGAATAGCGGCTTTCGCTTTTTTTTAAGAACAACGGGTATTTTTGTTAGTATGAACAAACTAGCAAATCATAAGGCACATCAGTGACAAATAGACGGCGTAAGTCAAAATTTATTCCTCCAATGGGAAAAAAAAAGTCATGGCTTTGCCACTTGAGATTTGGTTAATTATTTTATGTAGAAATTTTGCAACTGTCATGTAGCAAAGGTTAAGTTACAGTTTAGAAATCGATCAGCATTTTTCAGCCACAAAGCCGTCAAAAAATGAACAGGTGTTTTCTACTGCATCATCTAATCTTTTCTAAAACCCAACTTTTATGCACGATATTCCAATTCAACCAAAGATCATATGTTCTAGTGAAGCTTTTTAACATTTGAACCCTCTTCAAAACATGAGTTGATTGCAAATACTTACTTTTGTTGAGCAGTCTTGTTATAATACGTTCTCGTGAAATTTGAAATTTTTAATGACTGATCGTGGACGGTTGCTGTAACTCGGACACAAGTAATATTTGGTTCGTGGTTTTTTGAGCGAAACAGTAGGATAAATGATTCATCATGTGTTTTACTAATAGCCTGAAAAATAAAACAAATATTTTTATTATCAGAGTATAATAAATAGCTTGAGAATTGTGTTTTAGCTGTCATTGTTTATGAATGCATCCGGAATCATTATTACGCATCGACACCACAAGATGTTCATGCGATGCTTAAAGCTGACCTACAGCCTTATGTATTTCGCTGCACTCTCATACGCCACTGTATGGCTATAGCTAAATCTGCTCAGATATTATAATTCAATATTTTCATGGGGAGAACAACGGAATGGGACTTCTCTTTTCTCTAGACTGATGCGTGCCATACGCTATAATTCGACGAGAGAAAAATAGTAATCTTATGCGCAATATACTTACACCTAAAGTAAGCAAAGAAACGGAGATTTATATTTGCAACGTTTGTTTCAACAAGAACCTGACAACCCCGTCGGACGCAATAATAGACTGCACAACCACGTATTTATAACCACGAAACGGACGATGACATTCACTAAATTTGCACTTCTCGCGACAATTCAGTGATTCCCGAAACACATATTCCTTTAACGTATGTCCTCCTGCCCTTTGCAGCAAAGTTCATTCTCCAGCGGATGTAGAGCTCGTCGAAATACTTCTGGAATCCAGTCTTTGTGATTATAATCAGTTCATCTAGCGTCGCGTTCTTCATTTCCCTTCTCGAGTAATAACTCCATTGAGGTAGACGCGCGAGCTCTTGAAAGAGGGACAAGCTGCCGAACCAAGACCAAAGGAGCACAATGTGTATGATATAATGTCTGATTTTGTTCTGTCTCTACCAGTTCAAAAATATGATAGCACCAAAGGCTACATCTTGGAAGGTAACTATATAAACCTACTCCAATTTCACTAAATATTATCCTTAATATTTGTTGCAAAAAACAGATATCTTTTTTTCATCAAACAGTAGCTTTTAAATACATTGTCGCAGTTATTGTTCCTAGGACTTTTCCGGGGTCTTAAATTCCTTACAATGTGTTTCACTATTGGGCGCACAGCTAAGCTATATATAATTATACTGTGTTTTCTATAATGATGAGCATCAGAATTTTACAAAATACAGATGTTGTTCACATTAGAAAAACAAACTAAGAGTTTTATATTCCAGATAAAGATAAGCAATGCCCCATGTTGAGCGCTGAAAAGCCCGCCATATTGACCGTTTTCCCTATTATCACAACCTCCTTAGAAGGAAATTTTAATATTTCAGCACATACTTAGACAACAATAATAATATATTGAATCAACCATGAAGAAGGTACACAAAAAAGGGACGAAGACATTTGGCAGAGAACGATTGCCTGTAGGGAGCAGTCAGTGGGCAGGCAGCGAGCAGAGCCGCCTTTCCTCAAAACTGAGATAGGCGATGTAACTCCTGACGCAGGCATTCCAGACATTTCTCTGAAAGCTCCAGGGCAAAACAAACCGCTAGAAGGTATGTACATTTTCATTAAACACTTCACTAAAAGAAGTTGTTTTTAATTCCATAAAATTTCTTGTTTCTACCGGATTTTTGTCACTCCTAGCAGCTTCACCAGGGACGACAAAACGCAAAAGGGCTTCAGCAGAAAACTTCCTCTCATGGAGACGTTCAGTAAATTCTTTTTTAACTCATTTCGCATCAAATAGGAACAGGGATCACAGGAATTTATGAAAAACATAAATTCAACGTTATTACAATTGAAAACACGTCAACAAGTCGTGATTATCCATCGCTATAATTTGCGCACTGTGAATTTTAACGCTATCATTTATTGGTAATGTGAAAAATAAGTGTTACTTCCCTCCCATATATATATATATATATATATATATATATATATATGGGAGGGAAGTAACACTTATTTTTACATGTATACATATATATATATATATATATGGGTGGTTTCATCTCAAATCGTGCAGGCAAAAAGGGTCGAATTTTTAATTTCGATGAAAAAAATATATGTTATGGCGCCGTTCTTAAAAACGCAGTCACCGCAGACCGCAAGTTCGTCGGATTTTTTGTTCGCGACTTATGAATTTTTAAAGAGGCCGCGGCGAAAAGCAGTGTTTTTCACACCCGTCGTGGGTCGGATGTTTCGCTTGATCTCCCGCCGTGGATTTTCAGTCCACATTATATTATCTTTTTTAAAGCACTCTGTGGACACATTTAAAAGGCTCCAATACCATAAAATAATTTTAGGCGTTTTGCTTTTTTTCTGTAAAAATGTCAAAAACGCCCCCTCGGTGAATTGTTGACGAACTTTGACAATTAATTACTGGCGATCTACTTGGGTTACATCAATACTTTTTGTGTCCACAGAGAGCCCAAAACACGTTCTTTATATGTATTATAAAATGACTTGGCTGTATAAAATATTCTTTCCGGTACGTTTACGTTAATGTTATGTGAAAACCAAAAAGTACCATATTTGAAATTGATTTTCTCAAAAAACCCATTTTTTATTTTTTTTATTTCTTGTTAAAATGTAGATGTGATAGTTGTCTACACGAAAATCAAGTCTAGAAAGTGTATATTTTGTTTGTATGTTTTTTATTTAGGCATCAATATCGTACAAAAACGTGTTTTTACGGCACGAAATGGACTTACGAATTGCGCGTCTTCACAAGCTTGGAAATAGATTTTTTTATTTTTTTCAACGTTTCCACATAAAAATGGAATACAGTATTTCCACCCTGTTATATTTATTGATTATTTAAATTTTATTATAGGCGGCAAGCTACATTGGAGGAGTTCCAAAAAGAGAAAGCAACACTTCTTAACAGACCAGCAGGTGTCGTAAATTTTTAACGTGTAGGAGTCGGCAGACGTCGTATTGATTCGGGGCCCTCATTGGCCTGCATGAACGTCCCGCCCTTTCGGAGCCAGCAGATGACCACGACCTTTCGCGCTCGTTGTGTTAGATAGGACGGCCCGTGACAGTAAAGCGTGCAGCGCACCCTGTGTCACGAGGAGTGAAGTGGTACGATTGTGTCGTTGACACGGCGAACAGTGACAGCCACCCAGGAGGAGTCAGTCAGAGTATTGCAAAAGGGAAAGCAAAGGAATCGTTGCCTGAAAGGATGAGGACACCGCGGCATTACAATATCGACGGTCAACAACTGTGCTGTCAGCCAAAACAACGCCGCGTGCGCGCTAAAACCGGCGGCGCGGGACACAAATCCCGCAGACGCACACACGAAGATGGGCAGGTTTCGTTAGGGATGTGGGGAAATTTGAAACCAGCCATCCGTGCATGCATGAAACGATACCGCCAGTTTGCCCCAGCTTCGAGCGCCCTATCCTTACCTTGAAACGGCCGTGCTCTCTCTCTCTCTCCGGGGAGATCCGATAGCACCGAAGGGTTATCTATTAAATTTGAGGAAGAAAACGAGAAGGGAGTGTTTAAGTTTAATTATCCCCACCAACCCGCTCGTTCTGTCCTTATAAAGGGTTATCTCTTTTGGAAACAGCAAAGCCCGGGGACTGACATTAAAACGAGCTTGTTGGTAAATATACTTGTGTTTGTATACTGCCCGGAGACTAGTTGGGTCGAAGTCAGCCTCCTTGTCAACTATAACCGTTTGTGAAGAGTGGGCTTCTCCCGAGATTAAAAGTCAGCGCCGGCTGACGTGTTCTTTTGAAAAAGGGAAGGGGAAAGAGAAAGTTTGAGTAACTGCAGAAACTACCTCGAAAGCTCCTCTCCCGATTTGAAGCTTCAGGCATAGTCTCGGTTACCTTCTCGCGCATCGCCTGCTCGACACTATTCTTCACTTTCTTTCGCACAGCCACTGTTCCTCACAGCCGTCGTGGATGTGCGTAATAGAGGAAAAAAACAGATTCGAGCATCATCTGGACGCCGTCATCCTGCCAGACTTCAGTGTCGTGGGACCGACTCGTGTGTGTTTCTTCGCCCCGCTGAACTTAGTTTCTCGGGTGCGTTTTTGAACGTTTTTTTTTTTTTCAATGTTTTTTTACTAACTGTTTGTTAGCCCTGTTCAGTTGTTGGGTTTATTTTGTCATGGCGTAGCGGCCTAGGCGGTGATTTAGAGAGCGTGTTCGCACGCATTTGGTTGCGTCCCATTTAGGGAATGCCCGGAGGAGTTGGTTTATGTTCTTGCCATGTGCGGCTGAGTTTTCCCGTCTTTATTAAATTATTGATTTTTTTTTTGTTTTACCTTTACGTGCCGTCGACTTCTTTGTCTGACTCTCCACCAGGCGTGGAGCTATCGCCTTGCCACCGCTCGAACCTAGATACTTTATTTTTTTTTTAAACGCAATTTTCGTTAAGATCGCAGTTGGGCAATTTAATTCCTATTTATTTATTTTTATTTCCTACCCCTCTCCATGACACACTCTCTGTGTGTTTCGGACCGTTTCTGTGTCACCACTTTTGTGTATTACGGAAGTGAAAGGACATTCCCTGGTGACCTGTGCGATGTGCGGTGAACAAACCCCCAGTGTTTGGTTTCGGAAAGAATTGTATATAACATATCGACGGATGTGGTGACTTTCTTTGTCTTAGTAATATGACATCTAATAGCTAGTCGTGCTAGTTTACTGTGAAAGGTTTATAAATCAAAACAATACAACGTCTGTGCCTTTTGGTTATTGAAAGTCTACTAGGCCTGCCGATTTGGTTAGATATGTATCTCGTGGTTCCCGCTCTTATCAAAACATACATAAATAATCAATACCACAAAATTCGTTTATAATTGATTACAAAATGCAGAAGAAAATTCAAGAAAACTTTTTCACAATTCATAGAGACGCATGGGTCGCAATGTCTGACTTAGGTCTTGCAAAACAAAGACGTCTTTTTTTCCGATATTGAGGCCTAAATATAAAACATACAAACAAAATATACACTTTCTAGGATTGATTTTTGTGTAGACAACTATCATATCTACATTTGAACAAAAAATAAAAAAAATAAAAAATGGGTTTTTTGAGAAAATCGATTTCAAAAATGGTACTTTGTGGGTTTTGCATAATATTAACGTAAACGTACCGCAAAGGATAATTTATACAGCCAAGTCATTTTATAATAAATATAAAGATCGTGTTTTGGGCTCTCCGTGGACATAAAAAATATCGGTGTAACCCAAGTAGATCGCCAGTAATTAATTGTCAAAGTTCGTCAATAATTGACCGAGGAGGCGTTTTTGACATTTTTACAGAAAAAAAGCAAAAGGCCTAAAATTATTTCATGGTATTGGAGCCTTTTAAATGTGTCCACAGAGTGCTTCAAAAAAGATAATATAATGTGGACTGAAAATCCATGGCGGTAGATCAAGCGAAACATCCGACCCACGACGGGTGTGAAAAACACTGCTTTTCGCCGCGGCCTCTTTAAAAATTCATAAGTCGAGAACAAAAAATCCGACGAACTTGCGGTTTGTGCCGACTGCGGTTTTAGAAACGGCGCCATAACATATATTTTTTTCATCGAAATTAAAAATTCGACCCTTTTTGCCTGCACGATTTGAGATGAAACCACCCATATATATATATAGATATATATATATGTATTTCGTTGATCACGTACCTTCCAGGCGCTCTGGAGAGGTCCAAGGGCAGGATCGTTAAGACACGGGTTGTTTTCAGGGTTTTTTGTGGTCATTTGTGTCTGCCAGGCACAAGTAGTGGCGATGCAAGTGAACAAAGCTGCGTACAGAAGACCCATTGGAACTGCTGCAACTATCATTTGAAGCTGTTCCGGGATCCTTTTCGTGCCGCTTTTATAGCTAAGATACGTAGACGTACTTCTTATTTTCCAAATACACTTCCAAATATTTCAAAATCGTAGGTGTGGCACGCCTTTGCTAAGGAGAAACAATATAGACTTTGCTGCTTATGGTTTTTGCGCAATTTCGCTGGTCATTTCTGCGAAACCTTACACCAAAATGTGTATTGTTGTTGTTGTTGTTTCGCAGTAAAGTGAATGGTGCTGGAATTACAGCCAGACCTTCAACACTTGTACATATAAGTTTCTGCTTATTCGTGACGTCAATTGGACCACGAACGACAACGACGAGCCATCGAATCCAACCAAATGCCACGTGAGCGTCACACAACCTTCGGGGAGGGTAGAGGGACGAGCGGGGTGCGCATGGTCACGTGATACTTTCGCCGCGCTCGATTGGTTGGAAGGGCTTGCGGCGTCCGCTGCGGTTTGACGTAAGTTAAAGGGTAGCGTAAAGGTTTTACACTACGCGCTATTTTGTAGAAATCTTTGCATCGGAAGAAACATAGAACACACGTAAATTAGTGTGAAACTGAAATAACTTTTGTGTAATTCCTATTCATATATTTCTAAAATCGCCATATAACGAATCTTCTAGACGTGAACATAACTAGAGTTACTGGCGAGGTTAGAACGGCAGGGATTAGCTTCGGGTGTCCGCCCTGCAGTGCGTGTTTCCAACTCTCCACAACGTTTAGGCGTCCCGTGCACCTCGATCTCGCGCTCTCAGCCAAAGCAAAGCGCAAGGCATGGACCGCATGCTGGAATCTGGGCGTTCGTAAGACAGGCCCCTTTCCGTTCTCATTTTGTCTGTGACTATAGACTGTTGTTATTTTCGGACCCTTAAGTATATCAAAGTCTTGACCGTAGGAAGTAAACAAAGAAACTGCCTAAAAGGGAGATAAAAAAAAGGAAAAGACGCCACGTTTACACGATATGGAAGAAAAACAGCACAATTTATGCGAGTGATTATTTATTATCTTGAATTTTCTGCCAAGTCATCTATTATTAGACTTCACAAGCGCTGCACCGTCGTCTGCATCGATCTTGTATAAAATAACATTATAAATAAGGTTTAAAGATGAGAACAGTTAATTTTATTTTGCTAATTGTCGAATCCTAGAACGTACCTCTTAGTAAGAGGGGTGCTTCTCTATTTCATCCGTTTTATGTATCTCGATGTTCCTTGATAGTGTACAACACATTTTGAAAACGTGAATATCTGAAGAACTTCACCTTCGGTCAACGTTACTAGCACGGGGGATCGGTGGCCGAGTGGGCTGAAGCGCACACCCAGCTCGACGCGCGTGGAGCGAAAGGTCGCGCTGCAGAACCCAGGGATCCTGGGCTCGAGCCCCACCCCTGCCCGTTTCGATCTGGATGAGCATCGTACCGGCTTACGGTCTTTAACGTGGTGCACGTTAAAGACCCCAGGCTAGCGGTTGCACTGCACTGGCTAAATTGCTCATCCACTGCTGGGAGACTCGTCGCCCTGTGAGGCAGACCAAGTTCTAGGCTGTATAAACATACACACAACCCAATTTTTTTTGTTACTAGCACCCCTCAGCTGGGAAACTGCCATAGGGACTGTTCTGAAAAAGTGGCACCAACCCGTCCTCCCGAACCTAGCTAATGGCGATCACAACGCCGCCATTTCTCCCACAGCGGCCACTCGAGGAATTGCACGTGACTTCTGACTTCCATTTTGGCTTCAATCGGCCAGTTTAGCGCCGAAACAGATACGATGGAAGGGGTTTCAGGGGTGTCACACCGATCTCCCCAGCGGACGCGCGCCTCGAATCATTGCCGAAGTCAAAATGCGCCTAGGTCGGGACGCGCTACCTGAAATTACTGCTGAGGCATGGTTGTAGAAAAACAATGTACGGGAAAACTTTGCTAACTAAACATTTTAGAAAACATCAGCCGCCCTTTATTTTGAACTAAACTCCAATAAAAGTTACTACAAAAAGAGTTTTTTTCCGTTGGTTTTTACGCAAAAACATGCTTTCTAAAAGCTCAAGGTGACCACACTTAAGACAAATGATAAAGGCTGGCGCTGTTATCGTATTTAGCTCGGTCTTGGTGGATGCCAGCAGCCCAGGTTTCGACGGCGAGTTTCCCAGATGAGTGTTTTAGTAACGTTGCTTTCGGTGCACCTGAGCTATTGTAGTCCACCCCATTTTTCTTCCCCATTCTCACAATCCGCAACTTACAACGTTAAGCCGAAGACAGGTACAACCCTTGTTTGGTGTCTCCTACGTTAGGTAAGTATAATGATGAAATTACGTATTTTTATGCTTTGTTTTTATTTGCCTTTACAACGCTGAGACTTCCTTTTACACAATGGCCTTGAGCTCACCGAATTCACAGCTGGGAAGAAGACGCTCGCGCCTTTCTAGACATTAGGATAAAAGCAAGGAGGCAAGCAATGTATCCAAACAGCTTTTTGCCACTGTTCTGCGGCCTCTCACACTGAAACTGCCACACTGCCTACCATATTTTCAATATAATTTTACTTTTCCTGCAAAACAAAAGATGAGGCAGGATAAAATCTCATACTCAGATTCAGGCTGTGTGAGATACCCCCATACAGCATATTGGTAAACTTAGTGAAACTAGTAAGAAAAAAAATCGTAAAAAACATAATCTTCGTAAAGCAGAATTATCATTGTACACTCAAGGCAGATATTGAATTGTATGTAAAAGAATGAACCAATTAATTTAACTATAACCTTAGGTTAAGGCCTACTGTTTTGATTTGTGCTTCACTTTAATCAAACGCGGCAGAGAGAAACGACGCTGTTGCCTTAACCCATTTGGCCCAGTTCTATGCGCAACTGAATAAAGAAATATTTTACAGCCGTACCTGCTCTTTTTAATTAAAACAGACTAATATGCGATACCAAAATTTGTTTGTTGTTGTTAGATGAATAATATCATTACTCATAATCAACTAGGCTGGCAGACTGGCATGTATTCTGCATGATGGAATGTCTCGTTGCTTAGAAGGCCGATAGGGTTGGTCACCCAGAAAAACGCTTTGTCTACTTTGTTGGTGAGTCCACATATTATCGTAAGAGGCTTCTAAGAGGTTAAATAACTAAAGACAGTAATGAGCTTTGAGAGCCGTATAAATAATTATGAGACTATAACGGAGTTGTAAAAAAATTAGACATTTCTGTCCCTCCTTTTCTAAAAAAGATGTAACGGACGTGACTGCGAAGTGATGCTCTAGCCAAACGGATTTCCTTATCTTATATAAAACGAGAACCTGAATAAAATTGGGAATTACTCAAAACTTGTAATGATATTACAATTATATCAACTTTGAGCAGAATCAGGCTATAAAAATAACGAATATCTTAATCAAATAAATCCAATTTACTTTAATAAAATAATTTAATCAAGTATATCTGATTAAACTAAGTTTTTTTATTTCGACTTAAACCAATTTATCGTAAATTTAAATACATCCTAATTCACACGTTATTTTTCAAGTCACTATCATTTTAAACTTAACCAAGCAATATGTTTTGGCATAACATATTAAGTTTATTATGAGGTAGTGAAAATCTTTATTAGCTACATTGCTTGAAAAATGAAAATATGAGTCACTTTGGAGTTTAGATTATAAAAATGTCTAAAAAAACACCTTTCGGTCATTTTGACACATCTCCTTTTAAAAGCGTACGGCCAAACATTTTTCAGGGAACTTCGTGCACGCACCACACATTTTTGCCGTTTCCTCTGTGATTTGAGACGATGTCATAGCGGTCTCTGGGCAGCACCATAAGTGAAAAGCGGCAAAAACAACAATCTCAACGATGAAGAATTGTGACATTTGAATACACCTTGCGAGTTGCATATCGGTAATCATGGCAATCTAGTTTTCTTGTTGTTTAGCGATAGGCGGTGGTACGCTTCCAGAAATCAATGAAAAACATAAGGGATATTTTGAACGATGCAAGATTAATCTTCAAAGTATCCCTCGGTCATGTTTTTCTTTTTTTATTGTCTCTTAGTTTTATTTTTTTTCTGTCGTGGAAGTGGACGCAAGGAAGATATTTGAATGGTGCCATTTATTCAGATTTATTCAGCCTATTGTTCGTGTTCATATTGATATAAAATTTCCGTACCTGGTGATCTTTCGATTCAAACACAAATTAAATGACCATTAAACTTAGTAAAAATATAAATATTGTAAAAATATTTTTTGGGAAATTTGGAGGAAAATGTTAGATTTAAATTCATAGTAAAATTGGTGTAAAGTGATGACTTAAGTCGCGTCTTGAATAAAGCAATTTTTTTAGGCCATCCTTTGCCGGATACAGAGGACTACACATATTAAGTTAAAAGCTCTATATAATAGGAGAATCATATTTATGTTATGAAGTGCGACTTATCGATGAGGAATATTCTTCTCGAAGCCTGCAAAGGTAAAACAAAACAATTTCACCTAGTTTTTGTTTAAGTGGTACTGTAAGGTTTACTCTTCGCCTTCAAGGAAATGCGATTGCAAAGAGAGTTTCAACATTTTAAATAAAAAAAAAACAAGCATAATTTATTCCGACGTTTTGGTTTCTCAAAAGCTTTCGCCTTAACTACTAGTGATAGAGACACTTTTTTTAATATAACCTAACTGTAACCAAAATAGTGTGTGTATTTTAATGTCAATAGCTAGAGCATTAGTGCCATTTTCTGGTAGTGTTCGTATCCCACCAGGTGAAACTGAAATACTTATCGTAGATTTAGTTTGGGAACGTTCAGGGAAAGTTTATTTACGAAGAGTTTTTTTCAACACAAACAAACAAACCGGGGTAACACGGCAATAGCAAAAATAAATGTGTTTATTGTGAGATGATTCTTGAACGTTGAAAATTTACAAAAAATGTGGCTTGCGATTCGGAAATTTAAAACGAGGCATGTACACGGTGTGTGCG